TAAAGTACCATCTTGGTCCAATTTGCTAAAAGATAAGGTACTATATGTTGAAATCAAAGCACTCCTTCTGGTAGAAATTTTGTATACAAGATATAAAAAAAAAAAAATAAATAAATAAATAAACACCATTGTAAAACCACTAGCTTCCTTGCTCCGCTCAGAATCTAAAATTGTATAAAATACGAAATTAATATAACATTTTAATATCAAACTGAACCAAACAGTTAAATCATAAAAAGTAGTAATTATTAAATAGTACAGGAGCTTAAAATAATTTGTTTAGTTGTAAGTTATAAATTATACAACATAACAATGAACAATTTTCTGCAAAAAACATTATGAACGACCACTTGATATCATTTTATACTGCCGATAGAACTATCTGAAAATAACATCTGCAGGACTTATCATGTCGATTTTTTACAATGATTATTGATTAAGGTGTCACACACGTAAACTTTTTGAGGACTACATCACTGATGGTGACACAGTAAATGATTTGTCAACGATATAACTGTAATCAACAAATAATATCACCACCATGAAAGTAGAGTAACCATAATATAGGTTTTAGAGCGGTTAAATACTTAAACCGAGCGAAGCTCCAATGATAAAAACTATGTTGACTCTAAAATCAGACCTTGCAAATAGAATCCAATTTACAAATAATTTAAAAATGACAACAAATCGTTCCAATTTAATACGTTATAAAATAATGATGCTCGTCAAACGTGGAATGGAAAATGTTTTTTGGGGAGTTCGGGAATTTTTCGTTGGGAGTAAGCCCATTATTATCATGCGACTGCCGATCTATTGAAATAACGCGCCAACAATTTTCACTCAAATTATCAATTTTCCTTCAAACCTGTGCCTATACTACTTAACTACTTAGGTTTCTTATACGGTTATAATATATTTTATACTTTTGTTATCGGACGGATGGACTTAAAATTATTTTTACACCAACTGCACACGGTCGTCTACAGTTGCAGCCTATTTATTGTCGAGTCATGATGAGAGCCTGTGATAAGTACTAAGTAGGTGCATCGTTTGGTAATTATTGTTAACGTAATTATTATTAGGTATATTATCATTGCACGCATATCGCAACTGGAACATCTCGGCGGAAAATTGTTATGTTTGACGTTTTGCAAGCTAGGTAGCTGGTAGGTATACATGGCGTATAATATATATATTTATATTTAGCTGGTATGGTACGTAATACTAATGGGTTTACCCATACGTTGTTTTTCGTCTTGAATTTTGCAAATTAAACCAATTTTATTGCAATGACTTTCTTATGAAACATAATTTAACGTATATTTATTGATAGCTATCAACTTGTTGAAACAATGCCAGCCGGACAAAGCGCGTATTCAGGCTGAGTTGAATAATTAATATATTATGTTCTTACTGTCTTGTCACACGCACTGCAACTGTGTTTTCTCTAGTACATACTGCACATATTATTATTGCCATAAACATTAATTTTCGAAAATTAATTTTAACTCTTTCTCACACTTAGTCGATTTATTACATTTTTAGACAAGAAATTTGCATCAGCGTACCCCTCCCCTCTCCCTCCCTGACATTTTAACTAAACCCTTGTATAACCCGTCTAGTTTATTTTGGCACTCGTTACGATTTAAAAAAACAGTAGACAGTTATCCGAAACTATATACTTACCTATTTTATTTTACCTATATAATAAAATCGTAACGGTTGTCAAGTGCAAGACGAACTGCAGGATGGGCTATAACTTATAACTTACTAGCTGATCCCGTGCACTTCGTCGCCCGTTAAATGGATCAACTCAATACTACCTACTCAAACTTTGTTCAATTCATTAACGTGTATGGTGTTCAAAATTTATCTTATCTTTCCCGTTGCCCTGAATAAAAATTCTGAATCGCAGCAGTACATTATCAGGTAGGCAATCTACCTGCGGTAGATCGCGGACCCCGTGCTGTTTGTACGGAAGTGTATGATTTAACTCTAAAGTATCAAAGTTATACCAAGTTTATTTTGATGTAATACTGTGGATTAATATAATAAATTTGGTTGCTCGTAAAAAATCGCAACTCTTAAAAAAATTATGATTGTTGAACTCCTTTTGGGTGTAATTTTCTGCGGTAAGTGCAACTCTGCCACCCTGGTAAGCATTGCTCAATAATTCGATTTGATGCAAGCTTGTACCTGATCTGCCCGAATAACCAATGACAACCAATAAATAAATGCTAATTTCTAATGTAGACTGTAACCAATGGCAACTATAAATAAATAAAAATAAAATTTCCAATTTCTATCGTGAATCTCAATGTCCCTGTTTCAGCACCTATTTAAAATGCGAATTTTGGCAAATCCTTTCTTAGCGCACGTCTATATTATAATAGCTATCCGTATGCCAAATTTCAGCCAGATCCGTCCAATGGTTTGAGCTGTGCGTTGATAGCAGTCAATCAGCTTACTGTTTTTTATATACAGATATGGTTGCCATGGTAATATGGACACACACACACACACACACACACTGACATACATTCATTTTTATATATATAGATGAGCTTATGAGCTTTTAATTTCTAACAATTTGTTTATCACCGTAGCAACGAATAAAAAAAATAATAATTAAATAAATAAAATAATTATAATGACAATATAAAATATACAGACTGACAAACCGTCTCCGTTCAGAATCGTTTTTCTTATACAATGATATTATATCATTGAATTCAAGTTTAATACAATCCATTAAACAATGACCAACTTGTAACCTACTGTACAGCTGAGCGACATCCACTTACCTGCCTTTTTTAATTTTTTTTTATTAAATTTTTTCTCAGAGTATGCATGAATGCTGTATAAGTAAATATATATGTAATTGTATGTATGCATGTATGAATACTATTTAAATATATAAGAATATGTAAGGATATATACAAGTATGTGTATATTCATATATGTAGGTGACTTGTTGATGTGTCTATATGAATGTTTATATATGTATATAAAATATATATTATATATATATATTTATGTAATCTATATAATATGTTTAGGTGTTTGAAATTTCGAATATGTATATTGTATATGATTTAATGTGTGTTTGCATATCATACTATGTTTCATATGTTCATGTAACATGTAACTAGGTGATGACTCGATAATAGTTTTTACTTTACTATATAATATATATATATATATATTATGTATATATATGTATGTATATTATGTATATATATGTATGTATATAAATAATTCCCACTGCATTTGACTAATAACAGTTAAAGATATTTATTTTTTCTCTTACATACCTATAATCCATTTATCCATGTATATGTATATTATAAGCTATGATTTCAGTCTAATCTCATACAATATTTCAATGTACCTATGTATGATTGATTAAAAATATAAGTATCTGTAATATTATTCAGGAAAGGTTAGCCTAATAGTATTGTGTATATTATAAAGATACAAGAATGTATGTATGTTTCCACCTACGAGTATATGCCCATTGTAGTATGACCTTGTATGGAAAATTACTAATAATATGAAAATTTATAAATGTTTAATTGATAAAGATGTTACGATAGTAGGTACTATAGATGTAACGTTAATTAATGTGTATTTCGAGATTTTGGTAATAAACCGCAAAAAGTATATCTTTTTTCCGATATTATAAGTTGTACAATGATATACGGTGGAGGTGATATGCCTGTGTGTATATACACACGGTAAAATAAAAATATCATATTGTCTAATAATACATGACCAAATTATTTCTTATAATCCATTTAATGGTGAAGTAAGAACCTTGTAAACCTTAATACTAATAAATGAAAATACAAATTTTATATATCATGTTTTATTTATTTCACATAATTTTTTTTTAATTTCTATAAATATTTAAAGACCTTACGTTTTACTCCTTGTAATGGTGTGAGGTGTTTAGCGTTCCGTCTAATTGATATATCAGCTGAGGGCTTGCCAAAAAAAAAGGTGAGGGTGGAGGTGATTGAATCGAAAACGACGTTGGACCATCGTTCTCATCAACTGCTAAGCGTATATATCTGGGTTTTGAATACCATGGAGGGTACCTACTGCGCAAAATTGTCAGAATCATATCCATCGTTCTCATCGATAGACTAAACAAAATTAATAATTTATATTATATGAGATGTAAGCGTATATAACCTAAATATTTTATAAATTACTTTAGCTGGAATAGATGTAGTGACAACTTCCTGTATACTTGATATATTGTTACCTGGAGAATAGTTTGGTGATATCGGTGAATACCCGTCCTGCAAGTAAAATAAAAAAAAACTTGTTTAAATATATGTTTGTACATAATATCATATTTATGAATTACCTCAACTAAATCATTCTCCAACGGATTAACTTCATCACATGAATTGATTTCTTGAGACAATTTATATATTTCTTCCTCTACAATCGAATAGTTAGGTGAGAAATATGACAGCGTTTTGAAATTCTTATCATACTGATAAAATAAAAATAAATGTAATTTAATATTTTATATACGTAATAATATTATATTTTTAAATTACCACTTCTGAGTCTTGTACGTTCCGATGACCCATACAAAGTTCGGCCAATTGTGTAGTCGCAAACATTTTAATTTGACCGAGGTTAGGTGTCTTCTTACTCTGCCTGACTTCAACGTTCCGAATGAAAATTTCCATTTCCCTCAAATTGTTGGGCGGTGAATCAGATTGCAAGCATTTTTCCCTCAAATACTTGCAATAATCTCTAATTTGCTTATTAATTACGGGTTTTATTTTTTCTTCTTTTTCATTAATACTAGCAGTAATACACCATTCTAATTCCTGGAGTTTTATTAAATCTGAACGACTTAATAAAACTCTACACCCGTCTTCAGTCTTGGATTCAATTACCAGAACGTTTGAACCGCTATACACCATACTCGATATTTTATTAGAATCGGTTTCGAGAAATATGGTTCGCTTGTAGTTTTACGGCGTGTCTAATATAAAAGATAGTACGTTACCCATAAGCGAGAATATCCGTCTTATAAAATCTGTACTAATTTTCACATAACGTGACGATGTTAATAAAAGAACAACTGTTTGAAGTTGTTCTGTTGGATCGATACCGACAATTATAAATTTTCTAGCTGTAAAGTCTAACGTGTAGGATGTAGACTCGATGAGTTCAGCCGGAGGTGATGGTGGTACATAAGTGAAAGCCTTCTTCTTCTCATTGTATAAGGTAGCGTTGTCAGCGATTGAACCAGCCATGTTTTAAAAATAATAAACACTTTAGATTTATAAAGACTTAGACAAATTAAGAACACTTTAAATTTTCAAAGACTTAGACAAATAATAAACACTATAGAATAATACATGGCTTGAAAAAAATATAAGCTCAGAACAAATTATAAGACTGATAGAAACGTAGAGGAGAATTACAATTGTGTAAGACTAAGAACAGACTGAATGATTGTCAGCTCTTACAGAGGCAAGATGGGTGTGGATGGATCCATTAATTGGTAGGGGATACAATATCGAGCTATCAAGAGTCTAACGTTTAAGCGATTAAGTTATTTTTTTAGTATATATTGGTTATTAATGTGTTATTCATTAACAGGTATGATAACATTTCGTGGGAAGATTCTGATATCATTATCAATTTCAATTATTCACTAATAGCCAATTTAAATTATGTATTAAAAAAATAGTGTTTTAGATCTTTTAGATCATTTCGCGGGGAAGATTCAGATTTCATTAAAAGATATGATAACATTTCGTGGTAAGGTTCTGATTTCATTATGTGTTATTCACTAATAGGTATTTTAATTTGTTGTGGTTAAGCGATTAAGATATTTTTTAGTATAGATTGGTTATTAATGTGTTATTCATTAACAGGTATTTTAGTTTGTCGTTATTAATTATATATCTGAGAGTCTAACGTGTATGCGATTAAGATATTTTTTAAGTACTAGGTACCTACCTAAAGACATTTAATTTTGATATAGTATCATCCGTTTATAATATTTAGAAAACTTATAGGATTATATGGTATAAAGATTCGATTATAATTTCAATGGGTTAGAGTCGAGGTGGGATCAATGATACGGTAATATTTACATACACTCGGTTCGATTCTAACACAGAATATTATATTTTTTTCTGCATTATTATACGTGGGTAAATTTATAATTGATAACTGATAACAGGAGATAATAATGATACCCGATAATAATATTAGATATATGTTGCTCACATAACGGATCGGAATGTGGTGGTGAGGTGGGGGTTAATATACAAAATATGTATTGGTCACGTGATGAGTAGACGGCTTCAGGTGGAGGGGTAAATATATGTCACACAAGTACGCAATCTAGGATCAAGGATCTCGGAATCATACATCAAGGATCAAGAATCTCGGATCAAGACTCTTAGGATCAAGGATCAAGGATCTTGGGATCAAGGGATCATGCTTCAGAACATACTAAAACATACTACGGGGGGGGGGGGGGGGCCTGGGGACATGGAGCTTTTTAAATTCTTTGAATTAAATTAAATTTAAAATAAAGTTTTATTTTTTTTTTAAGAAAATAATTGAATTGTCAGAAAGTTTTTTTAAATAGTTATAAAGTTAAAATTTTTTTTAAAGATTTATAATTACTTAATTATTTAAGTGTTAAATGTAAATAGCTTAATAAGAGCATTATATTGTGATATTATAAGGATTAAAGGTAAAATTTTTTTTTAAATATTAATTTAATTTTTTTTAATTTGTGTAGATATTTTATAGTTAAAATATTAATTTTTAAAATAAATATATAAAAACAATATTAATTTTGGCGTTAATGTTCAAAGAAATTTAAAATTCTATAGTTGTATTAATGTTTATTGTTTTTAAAAAAGACAAACCTATATACATTTTATTGTCATCTGAAAAAGTACAAACCATGCGTTGTTTTCATTTTTTCTAGGTGACCTAACAAAATGTCTTACAACCGGTGGTTCCGGATGACGATCTTGAAGGAACTACTTAAAACACATGTAACCAAAAATAACTATTTTTTTTATATAGAGTATAGGTAGTAGAACACTCCCAAATTATGTAGGCATATAAACAAAATCGGATTATGCACTTCTAGATTTTAATTAATCAATTCATGGTTGTCTTAATTATTTATACTATTGGTATATCTATTATATACACTATATACAATATAATATAATATAGATCAGAAATAGGTTACAAATATACATAGGTTGCAATTAATGATATTTATACACTTTTCTACCTTTTTATTGTTTGTTTGGAAAAATAGTTGATTTTACACACAACATTTTATTTTGCAACATACATATTAAGGCATATTTGTAAGTATTATACATGGGACGTACTATAAGATTTCGTCTATTTAGTATTTATATATAATTTATATTTTAGATTTTATTAATATGAAATACCTAGGGGAATTGTAGAAAAAGTTAAAGGTGTTATTTGTCTATTATTTATTATTATTCACTTTTACTATATACCTACATAGTTATTGTAAATCAATGTATCTAATACTGATAGGTACTTATTAGTTCAATATGACGTGCTAAATCTGATATCTGAATACATAAAATTTAGAATAAATTCTTTCAGTATCTTTTATGGCCTTGAATCCGCACATCTATTCTTTAGTCATTACGGTTTGCTACAGCTCAATTATGAGTGAGTTGTTTCGTCTGAAGCTGTGGTTTGGTAATCGCACGTACGCAGGGATATTTGTTATTATTATAATACATTGTTAGGTATTATTGGTAGTGTATCATTATTGGTAAACCATTATTATTATTGTTTACCTGAACTAAACTTAATTTTATTATTACAAAATAAAACAGAGAACACCAACTATTTTGTATTATTTTAATGCCCGTGCGACAGTGCAGTATATTAAGTTGCCTATCCTCTGGTTATGAAGGCGTACCTAGGTTCCATCCATCCATTTAACGAAAAATATTTACGAATGTTTACAATATTAAATACTATTATAGTAATTAATCAGGAGTTAAATATTTGAATTAAATACAGTTATTGAGTGGATTGTGGTTGTACTTATATAGAAAAACCTCGATTATTAAGCTTCATAAAATACATTTACTTTAAAATACTTGTGTGCGCTCAGTAACATTCTCAATAATGCAACATCGCAGTAAAACTTAAATTTAATGTTTAAGTTTTTCAGACTTCGAACTTACAGAATTAAATATACCATATTTATTCTTGTCGAAATTTAGAATAAAAGTTAAAAAGGTGCTCTGCTGTACAGTAGGTTACAAGTGGGTCATTGTATAATGGATGGTATTAAATTTGAATTCAATAATATAATATCGTTGTATTAGAAAAACGATTCTGAGCGGAAGCGGTATGTCAGTCTAGGTATAAGACATGAAAATAAAATGTGCTTATGTAATTTTTAGATTTTTTGGGAACAGAATTAACTACTTACGTGGAATCTTGTTTTAAATTTTCAATCCTTAGATATAAAATTTAAATATTTTATAAATTTTTAACTACAAAATAATTATTCAATTTTAAATTTGATAAATTTTGTCAAAATTCAATATTTAAATGCTTATAAAAAAAATTGTGCCTATGTATTTTTAATATTTGTAGACTGATATTGTAACAATACATCATGAGCCTTGTATTAAAATAGTCGATTTAAAATGAGTCAAAATATTTTAAAAATTGAATGGTGTATAGGAAAAGCCTATAATAAGTACCTATAATAAATTCCAAATTAATCATAATATCACAATATCCATTAGGTACTTATAAGCGTTATACATCAACAACAAACCGTGATACTATCATAGATATATAATGGAAATGCTAATATAAACATTCAGTGAAATTTTCATGTAGGTATCTACAGTTATTCGTTTTTAAATTACAACAACACAAGGAAATCGCTACATAAGAAATCGAGTGAATTTCCAATGTTGTAAAAATATGAATTTCAAACGCTCAAAAAAATTTAATTTGACTTCCTTAGAGACATTTTTTTTTTTTTTGATAAATTCCTAGAAATTTTCAAAAGCGCCAAGAAAAACAAAAGAAAAATTAAAGAAAAACGGGAATTTTTACGCAAAATCGATTTTTCACAAAATTGAATTTGGTTTTTGGTGTAACTTTAAAAAAAATGACCGTAGATACATGAAATTTTGACTGAATGTGTATATTAACATTTTCTATACACGATAACATTTTCAAAATGTTTTGATTTATTTTGAACTGTTTAGGGACATTTTCATTTTCCATTTTTTTTTAGTTTACTTTCTAAATATATCAATAACATTTTATTTGTTGGTTAAAAAAGCTAGAAAATTTAATAGAAGGATCCTAGTATATTTTTTCAAAGGCAGATGAAATATATTAAAAATCCTTTTAGAAACAGTTTTTTTTAATAAGGATTTAAAGTTCAAAAATTGACAAAATATGTAAAAATCACGAAAATTAGCAAATTAATTTGAGTTAAGAATTCGTAAAAATTCGAGGATTAAAATCTAAGATTTTAAAATGTAACACAAGATTCCTTATAAGATTATCTACCTTTATCAAAAAAAAAAATGTCTATAAGAAAGTCGAATTAAATTTTTATGAGCGTTTGAAATTCAAATTTTTACAACATAGGATATTCGCTCGATTTCTCATGTAGCGATTTCCTTATTTTGTTGTAATTCAAAAACGAATAACTCTAGATACATGAAAATTTCAATGAATATTTATATTAGCATTTCCTATACACCATACAATTTTTAAAATATTTTGACTCTTTTTGAGCTGTTTACGGACAATTACAGTTTTCAATTTTTTTAGTTTTTTTTTTCTATAAATATCAATAAAGTTTTACCTGTTGGGCCAAAAAGTGTAAAAATGTAATACAAGTCTCCTGATGTATTGTTACAATATCAGTCTAAAAATATTAAAAATACATAGGCACAATTTTTTTCATGAGCATTTAAAGATCGAATTTTGACATAATGTATCAAATTTAAAATTGAATAATTATTTTTTAGTTAAAAATTTATAAAATGTTCAACTTTTATATCTAAGGATTGAAAATTTAAAACAAGATGCCACGTAAGTAGTTAATTCTGTTACCAAAAAATCTAAAAAATACATGAGCAAATTTTATTTTTATAGTCATTTTAAGTTCAAATTTGGACGAAATTACATAATAAAAAACCTATGATAACTATTTTAGTTATTTTGTTGTGATTGTATAATATTATTCGTGGGTACTTGAAACTTCTAAAGTATACTACTATATTATATCTATGATAGTATCACGGTTTTTTTATTGATGTATAACGCGTTATAAGTACCCAATGGATATTGTGATATTATGATTAATTTGGAATTTATTATAGGTATCTATTATAGGTCAATTTTTTTTTAATACCATAGAAAGTATATAATATTATGTCTTATACCTAGACTGACATACCGTCTCCGCTCAGAATCGTTTTTCTTATACAATGATATTACATCATTGAATTCAAATTTAATATTATCCATTATACAGTGACCCACTGGCCACTTGTAACCTACTGTACAGCAGAGCACCTTTTTCTTTTGTTTTTCTTGGCGCTTTTGAAAATTACTGGGAATTTTAAATTTTGACCTCTCCAAGCACCAACGATATTCACTTTCCAATCGAACAAGATATTAAAGTTGAAAATCGAAACATTATTTCGACTACTTATCGTGTACACACAAAAAAAAAATTAAAAAAAAAAAACCCATATCATTGTAAAATCAATACATTCATCGTTCCACTCAGAATCTAAAATCATTACCGTCACACTACAGCCGTGAATTGTAATTTTTATTTTAAGTATTATTATAATACATTGTGATATTCTTTCTTCATATTATCATTTTTTTTGTTACTTTAACTTTGTTACTAACTATTTTGATAAAGTTAATTGGTGATATAAACGTATCTCATAATTTTTTAATGTCCTGCAGTTGTTTTTTACCACTGCTTTCTTTTTGAAGGTGAGACTGTATAATGACGAAAAATCAATTTTTTATCTAACCAGAATACTGACGGAACAGAACAGTGAATCCTAGTGTTTAATCACACAGAATAATTATAATTTATTTTAATCTGTCAGTTCGAAAATTAAAAAAATTGGGATGGGTAATTTAAGTTTTACTGCTATATGGCCAAATTTATTGATCTGTAATGTTATTGGGTGAAAACAAGTATTTTAATGTAATTTAATTTATTAAGCACATTCAAGGTTTTTCTATATAAGTGCAAATTCGGTATTTAGGAGCAAACAAGCCCCCACCCCTCATGGACGTTATATGCATGGGGGCTATAGGGGCTACAACCCCCGCAGTAATTTTTGTAGCACCCTCATGGTGTTTACTTTCATTTTTTAAATTTTATCCGAAATTATAGTTTTAAATGTTTTTAGATAATTTTCTAGTCCTATATAGAACCCACAGATAATTATACCAAACTCTGCACATGCCCCCCTTAGTATGCCCACCTATAGACTATCACTGATAGTATATTTAATATATATTTATATTATATTTAATATTTACATCATTTCTACTTTTATTTGGTTCATTATCAACATAATTATTCTACCTACATATATGAAAAAAATTTAAATAGTCATTTTTTTTATTTAAATTTAATTAATTCATACAATTTCATTGAAAACTCAACAAAAATAAATACTTATGTTGTGTTTTATACAATTATACATCATAAAACAAATTACCAATTCGTATTTAATTTAAGTAATAATTATGACAAGACATCACAAGACAATATATAACAGAAGACAAGTCAAGTAACGACTAACATAATATGATAGTATGAATTATTACAGTCGTGTTACCTTATTATAACATATTATGACAGCTATGTAAAATGTATAGGTAATAGACAGTTTGAATAGTGCAGAAGTGCAGAACTCTAAAACATTCCTCGATATGCACGGAACATCCACTCAGCCCCTAAGGCATATTATACGGAAAGTACCTATGACTACTTAATTTCACACCAAATGTAAACTATTTAACTATTTAAATATTTAAATAATTATCTTTATATTTTAGTTCATACATTTTGTATTACATAATTTTTATAATGATAATGATTATTATTCACCTATATTATTATGAAAATCGATATATTTTGGATTTAATATTTTTATATAATAGGTAATAATAATTTTCAACTATCATTAGACAAAAATAAACAATTTTAGGTAGCAATTAATCTTAATAATATGAAATGTAAATTAGCCAGTCTTATCAGACAGCAAATGCAGTGTTGATATCATTGGCTACAGTCAAATAGTTCTTGTTCTTGTGCATGCGTATTACCGTGTTCATACGCTTCCATATCCTGTAAATAAAAAACTAGGTGAATTATGGCGTTAGATGTGGACATGTGGTAGAGGTACATAAATAGGTACATTATCTATAAGTTCATAGGGTTCAGTGTCTGGATTTATATGCAAAAAACAAGTAAAATATGAACTTACAGATACATAAATATGAAAAATTCCTGATCGTCAATTAATATATGAGCATATTTACCCATATATTTATTATTATTATTATTATTATTATTATTATTATTTTTATTATTATTGATCACTACCATATAGATACAAGACTTGACACAACTGTTTCGGCATTTTTAGCTTTTAAATTAATAACATAATATCACTAAGTAGAAAGTTTCAAATAAATAATAAACAATAATAAATACAATTAATAACAATTAATACGTAGAACCACTGGGGGATCCACTGATTTTGCATATTATTCACTTAGCCGCCTCGCCATTGTGCCAAATTCCAATATTTATCTGTTAATGACTGTAAACCGGGTGATCGGTTTAACGTACGACATTCATTATTTTTGTAAAAAAAATGACAATATACATTTTAGCTATACCTATATAAATGGTTTTAGCTTTAACAATATTTACTAGCAGCTAATAAAAAAAACAATAATAAATAATAAAGTAAATGATTTTATAAAATACCCTACTTGTAGGCAATTATTCAGAAACATGTAAAAATATTAGAGTACAGTGTACTAATATGTCATATTATTAGCATGTTTTTAAGTTTTGAACTACACATGATGAATTATGAAACGTAGGTATACCTAGTTTTAATCAGAACTATTTTAAAATAGTAAAGCTAAATATATAAAAGCATGCATTTGCATATAAATCCGAACACCAATAATATACAACAGGTATATGTGCTATTTTGATATACTAACGATGAAAAAATTATGAGCCAAACCCACAATATGGCAGCCATTACAATAGCGATTGTGGACATGACTAGCCCATTGGGAAATGAATTTGTATCCTTTGCTTCATCGAAATATTCAATGGCTTTTACCAAACATGCTACTAGCATAAAACTCCATATTGTTATCGAAAATAATATTACCGTAAATTCTTGACAGAAACCTTGGCAGTTTCTTCTCTCCGGCAACCACTATACATAAACAATATGTTGTCAATAAACGACGATGATTATAACTTATTATATAATTATTGTAAGCAATAGTAATCAGGGGCGTCATTTGAGGGGGGTCAAGGTGTGCGGTAGCACCCCTTAATTTTAAAATGGTTCCAATTGGCCTGCGCCCCGCTGAAGCCTAAAATAATGCACAATTATTAATATGATTAAAATTAAATTGTATTTTAATTTTTATATTGACAACTTAATGAAAGATTATCAGAACCAACCAATAACTTGTTTAAGTTATTTGAAATTTTTGACCTTTCTAGTCCCAATTTTTTTAATCCAGATAGCCTTTATTTAAAACTATTTATAAACCATTATAGTTATTTTAACTTTAATGAAATTCAAATTTCTTCTGAGTTTCCACCAGTTAAAGCACTATTTAATGAGAAACATGATGTTGATTTGGACACCATAGCAATATGCCTAAAAGATTGTCCTATCGCTTTTGTTGAAACTTTAAAAATTATTTCATTGGTAAAAACTTTACCAATTACAATTTACAAAGGCATCAAATAAAAGGTTTTTTTCATTATTTAAAAGAGTTAAGTCATATTTACGCATTACCATGGGTGATGAAAGGCTAAGTGATTGGATGGTACTTAATGTTGAAAAAAAAGAAAGAAGTTAACAATATAAATTTAGAAGAAGCTGTAGATAAATTCACTAAACTAAAAAATCGACGATATCCGCTTCTTTAAATTTAAAATATTTTTTTTTCTAGCTCTTTGCTTTTTCCAAAATTATAATAATTATGAAAATAAACGACAATTTATTAATGTAGATATTAAGTCCTTTTTTTATTTGCTGCTGCATTAATTCTTCTAGCTTTTTATGAATCAATTATTATTGGTTTTCACTGTTAAGGTAATTCATTATTTATTATATTTTAGTTTCTTAATAAATTGATATTTACTATTTATTTTGACGCAATGATTCCGAATTGATTCGGTCCTTACTCATAATGTATAATGATAATGGAAATAATTGAAAACCGGATAATGTACATATATACGTATGTATATCTATTTTTATATGGCCTAGTGAAATTTCAAAATGGCCTGCTTGAAACCTCGCACACCCGAAAAAAAACCTGAAATGACGCCCCTGATAGTAATAGGTATACCGTATACATATTATATCATAGAAGTAAATAATATGGAGTATTAAAAATATGCACGTATAAACCTAAATACAAGATATTAGGAAACAAAATCTGATGATTTCAGTGTAAAACTATCAAATCTTTATGATAGGTATCTACACCCTGTTTATACGATACTACAAGTAGTAGCGGATTCAATTTATCTTCTAGGGAAAAGGAAGGCAATATCCTTTTGGTCCAAAAATAATTTTACTTTTAACTAACGGTAAAGAATTTCATCTTCTATAGTTCGATACCGTGTTGTCGATATTGATAAACTATTATCTGAAAAGTGAAATTATTAAAATAAGTGTCTTAAAGTTGTGTAAAAATGATAAATTTCGTGATATATTTTATATAAATTCGCTACATATATTTATTGATGTTTATTTTATAATTATATATTTTGATGATTAACTTAGATGTTGAAAGGTTCAACATTTCTAATTTTGTTATAGTGTTTTGCTTAAATTAACATGAAAACATAAAATTATGATTTGTTTGTACTTAAACAAGCACTCATGAGTACCTATATAACAATACAGTTAGGTAGGTACTTAATTTATTGGTACACAATATATTATATTCTGATTTCAAGCTTTGCTTTTAGAAGGTAAATAATCTCTTGTTTATTATGTAATACTTATATTTATGTAATAACAATGGATAAATAAAAAAAAAATGTTAAAAGTGTAGTGCAGATAGTTTTTGATAGTTTTTGCTAATCAATAAATGTTATTTGTTAACTTTTTTAACTTCTGTACATTAATAAACTGAATTTGGTCTAAAACAAATGTTGCGCATTCGTGTTAGAAATTTATATTTTATTATAAATAACAAAAATCATTTATTTTTTCATTTTTTTTGGGTTGACAATTTTTTGTTGTGCTCAGCCTTCAAAAGTTGTGTTTTTCTAGACTACTGAACACCCGTATTAACCATTATAACCCGAACTTTTATTCAAATTTTTTATTCCTGTGTTTGAACACCCGAATACATCCAGCACCCGAAACCCGAATAAATGATTCGGGTGCTAAGCCCTGATACAAACTGACAATGTACACGTGGGTTTTAAAAAATATTAAACTAATTTCAATTTTTCTTACTTAAGTTCAATCTCTATACCAAATCCTAATAGGTGCCATCTTCACTTAGCGCCACCACAATTTAAGTTAGAATAACTATAAGTCTCTTTTGCATATATCAGTAGAACATATTTTAATTTGATTTTATGTTCATTCGAAAAAAACTCCGTTTGATGAAATAATAAATACCGTTTAATAAAAAATATAATTTGTATCATCGTTAATAATGTCTTTTATCGTCTGTAATAGACGGGTTAAATTAAATTATCAATTAATCATACGAAAAACGATTCTGAGCAGTGACAAACTGTTCATTAAATTTTAGTCAAATAGATGCCGTTTGTTTATAACACGCCGTCAGCACTCTACATCAATTTCAACGATACGAGTATGTATTTATAATTTATATTTTATATTGCTAATATAATTCACTAATATAACTGGTTAAACTAACTAAATTTATTGTTATTAACTTATACGAACTGTTGTCTATTAATAACAGTAGAATAGAGTGTAAAATAGTTCAAAAAATAGAAATATATTTTATTATAATTATTTTAAAGTCCTTACGATTAGTTTTTATTGAATTATAATGAATTCATTAGGGGGAAAAAAAAGTTTTTAATGGTATTAAGTATTTAAAAAATGTAATTAAAAATTTCGAAGAATTATAAATAAAAATAGCTATAACACATTTTAGTTATTTTGAAAAACTTTAAAAAACTCAGACTGGAATTTTGATATTTTTTCTAAAATAACAACTTATGAAGAACCGTGTACATCGTTATTTCAACTCTGGAAAATGCTACTATAAATATTTAGAGAAAATTTCATTTCTGCTGTTTTTATTTTGAAATTACGAGAAAAAAATCGAATTTGTCAAAAACTGATGTTGCATTAAGTTTGTATAGTATTTGTATAGTAAAGAGAAATATAAATACTATTAGTAGTAAATAGTTTAGGTGCTTAATATTAATTAAAACTAAATAAAATACTTTTTGATACTTTGAATTTTTTGTTTCTTATTTTTTCTAAAATAAAAAATATTCGAAGCACCTAGTTCCAGAAATAATCTTATGATAATCTCTTCTAACCTAACCATATGATATGGTGCATATCGGAATAAAATTGTCTTTGTATGGTTTGATACTTCTATCTAAATATTTAATATGATTCTGTCAATGGGTTTTGATATTAATGGGTTTGGAATGTTTCGATACCGACTGTTTTTTAAGGAGTCTAATAATGTAAGCATGCGGGTCGTGTGCGTAGTATAAATAATCATTAGTGTGAGTGGTTGTATGTAAAATTAAATAGATTTTAGCGGAGAACTCCGGCGCGGCACGTGCACTAAAAGGTCAATATATAGAATATTCTACGAGAATATAAACTGTTATTCTTTTTTTTTTTTCAAAAATATAAATCATTTGACAACCATATTAACCGATATAATATACTAACCTATTTATCCGATAAAATATCTGAAAACATAATTTAATTCGTTGTGAAACTTACTTGAAAACAATTTTCTTACATTTAAAAATTCATTTTTAAACTGCAATATATTATTAACATTATAAAATTCTTAATATTCATAACTTAAAAAAAGGTGGGCAATTGGGTGTCTTACTGATATGCAGTAGGTTAAAAGTGGTCACTATAATGGATGGTGTTAAATTTGAATTCAATGATATGATATTACTGTATAAGAAAAACGATTCTGAGTGAAGATGGTCAGTCAGCCTATGATATTACTAAGTACCTATATTTAATGATATTATTGTGAATAAAGTAATTTATGTATTATAAAGTATTTATGTAAAACCTTGTTTTACATTTTCAATCCTTATTAGCTATAAAAATTGAACATTTTATACATTAACTACAAAATAATTATTAAATTTTATCAATAGGAATTGATAAAATGAACATGTGATATAAATTTCAAGTATTTACGGTTTTTCCTTTTTGAATTACAAAAATATAAGAAAATCGCTACTTGATAAATCGAGTGAATATAAAAAAATGAACTTCAAACATTCATAAAAATTTAATTTGACTTTCTTGTAGACATATTTTTTTGATTAAGGTAGACAAACTAATGAGAAATCTTGTATTACATTTTAAAATCTTAGATTTAAAAAAAAAAAACTCATAATATACACATACCTAAAGTTGCACATAGTTGCAAATGTTCGTAATTTGTACGTATTTTTTCAAGATTTGAACTTTAAATGCGTATAAAAAAAATTGTGACAATGAATTTTTAATATTTTTTGAATGTCATTGTAACGATTTATTAGGAGTCTTGCATTAAATTTTCAAGCTTATTTACCAAACAAATAACATTTTATTGACATTCATAGAAAAAAAAACTGAAAAAATTGGAAACAGAAAATGTCCGTAAACAGTTCAAGACAAATTAGAATATGTTGAAAATGTTATCGTGTATAGAAAATGCGAATATAAACATCTAGTATATAAGGGAGTTTCTTTTAGAGTTAGCTACACCAAAAACCAAAATCGATTTTGTCGAAACCGTTAAAAATTATCGTTTCTCCTTAATTTGTATGTCGTTATTCCCGACACATTTGAAAACTATTGGAAGTTTTTAATTTTACCTCCCGAATGCACCAACTAGATTCACTTTCCCATTGAGC